GCCACCCCGGGCTGGGCTGCGCTGCGCTGGTGGTGACCGCGGCACTGGTGCGCAGATGGTACAACCAGTCCCGCTACTGGAAAACAGCTCCGAGGGGGCTGTCTGGCCGACCCCACGGGTGCTCCCTGCTCGCTTTGCTCTGCCAGCCTGAGATGCTGGTGCCGTGGGGGTCACCCCGGCAAGCGGGGGACAGATCAAGCCGGATCCCCAGCTGACTTTAAGCAGATCGGCTGGGATGTTTAATTTCCACTCAGGTCATTTGAGGTAGAGTTCCGTGATTGATGTTCACTCTTTTGGGATTAAAAGAGAGGGAAACGGCTGCTAATCTCAGGTGCTCGTAGAGAAACATGTAGCATTTCTGGTGCAAAACCATTCTAGCATGCCAGTTGCCTTTGGGTTGCTTGTTCCCCGGTGTAACGTTACCCTGTCTTCTGCCTTTACAGTTCCCCGTTCACCTAAGGCAGGTGCTTGGACTTAACTGAGAAGCATAAAACGCGCAAAAATACAGGGAAGGGCTGGTGTACGGGAAATGGACATACAAATGTATGGAACAGCTAGAATAGAGGTGATGGTGTGTCTGCTGATCCGCATCCTTGCTGGGTGAATGCCAGAGTATCACCCCGCCGTGCGTCGCATCTCTTTTTAAAGAGAATAAAAGGGATTTTCTTTAAAGGGGTATCGCAGTTTCCTCCCTACACCAGAGTGTTGACCCAAATGTATGCTTATTTCTGCAAGGGCAATAACGCCCGTCTGCTCAGCTGAGAGCACGATGCCCGGTACCACCTTACGTACCACATCCATTACGTCCCAGTAATGCAGGTGCCGTCATCTCCATCCCCGCCCGCACACCTGCCCAGAGCCGCTGCCGCCGTACCGAGCCACGGCATTTTGTGAAGCTCGTCTTTAAAACTCGACTACCGACCCACTCGCCACCTGTGTGTACACGAAATCCACAACGGCACGATCGTGGTGCTGCCATCGCCGCCGTTTTGGGAGAGGGGAGGGTTGTGCCTCTCAGACGTTCCCAACATCTACATTTGCCCCTAGAATAAAAAATGAGCAGCGGCACAGAGGAATATTCAGCCTCGAGGGCCAAGGAGGCACCACCGACCTGACCTCCCCTACGATCCTAATGCAGCATCCGCGCTGCCGCCAGCAGCCACTGCCGTGTCCAGAGGAGATGCTAATAGTCAACCATGATCAACATTCCTAATTAATCTGGCCGAGCTTCCCCTCCCGCACTGGGCCTCTGTGTTTCAGTTTAAGCAGCACAGCCAGAGCACAGCCTAGCATCCCCCAAATACAAGGAGATGCCTTGAGATACACGGTATCTCAGCACTCTGATATTTTTTCTTTTAAATTCTATGTTATTTTATTTTTTTAAAAGCTTAACTGACCCTTCTGGTCACCAACTTTCTTTGTGGTTCACTGTAAGGATCGCTCTCCAAGAACAAAAAAGAAATCTCGGAGCTTTGATAGAGACTCTGGATGAAATTAAGAACTTCAAACCCCAGATTTTTGAAAAGAAAAACAGATGTCCTGTTTGTTGAGTATAAATAACTCCGTACGTGGAAACCTTTTTTTTTTTTTTACGCTGCATTAAATTTTATTTAATGCTGGGTGCATTTAAACTTTAAAAAAAAAAAAAAAAAGGAGGGGTGGAGGCAGCAAAATATGTGGGTGACAAACCTCTAAATCTTTTCCCCTCTCGAAAGAGAAAGAAACAGGCAGATGGGAAACCCTTCATCTAGATGAAAGTGCTCAGTGTGTTTCCTAGCAGACCTGGTGAGCCTGCCCTGGTCAGTGCGGCAGCGAGGGGGCTCAGCAGCCGTCACCGGGGAAGGGCGAGGGGGGCGGCGCA